TCTACATTTGATGAACCCCATCTGGAAAAGATTCGACAGATTCCTCCCAACATCCACTTCGGAGATATGTTCACCAACTTTCAAGAATAAAATAGGATTGATGATGGATATTTATTAAATAAAAGTTCGAGGGGAATGCTGGGACAGTGGATACCTTTTAGGATATTTCCCAGATGTACACAGTACTGATGATGTATTCCTTTGATAATTTCTGAAGGAGACACTGGAATGGTGGATATTTAGTGTAGTTTAAAACTAGGCTTTTATAAACACTTGTTAAAGCCAGAGCGGTGGATATTCATATAGGTTTAAAAGAGTGTATGTATACTATGCTCCTCCCTTAAGTAAAAGAGCCAACTTTTTCTCTCTGATTTTCTTTTTTAAAAAATATATATATTTGATATTGAGTTCTTGACGTTTGGATTTTTACTCGAGGGAATGGATTTTTACTCGAGGGAATAAATGGATAATACACTCCATCCACAGGAGCACGAAATTTAGGGGGTTTCAGACGAAGATTGGTTTAAGTTTTGGTTTTGGAACATATTATTGATTTTAATTTTTGTAATTAAATTAAATAGAGGATAGTGGAAAAGGCTTTTTGGTTAAATCCCGAGTGGTTTCATCGTTGGATTTGGAGTTCTCAAATTTTGGATGGATTTTTCCACATATTTGAAAAATATATTTTCCAAAAATTCCAATATTTTTTATTTGGATTGTGTAAACGATTTGATAAACATGAAAATATATTCAAATGAAACAATTTGAGAGAAAATTTGATACAGATTTAACAAACATAAAAAAACCAATAATAACTGAAATCGTTTTTATGCTTAATCAAATCATTTAAAGGAATGAAAAGTTGAATGGCCTAAATTACTTCAATAGTGCTTTTTATTTATCTAAATTCTAAAATGTTTTAAAATTCTAGTCCCATGCCAAACCTAAAATGCCACATGTTAATGCGTAAACCTTTGGGAACCTCCTATTTTTAGGGACCAAGTCTATCGCATCATGGAAAGTATGTCTAAAGCCTTTGGTGCGCATGAAATTTTTTTAAAAAATATTTTCACATGAAATTTTTTTTTATGTGATTAAGTATGATAATATTTTTATATCAATTAATTGTCCAACTGGTGTGAAAAGATGTACGAAGACCAATTGGCATAAAAATATTCCTATACTTAATCATTTGAGAGAATTTTTTCATGTGAAAATGTTTTCTAGAAAAGAATTTCACGCAAACAAAAACGTGCTAATTTAGGAAGTGTTGTATATTGTGTTGGGTGTATGTGACAATTAAAAGCCTTATAAGTGTTTTTAATTAAATTATTGATATAATGGAACTTGAATTCAGTGGGAGTGTGGTCCTGTATGGACCATACTAAACAAATTATGTTTGCTAATATTGGGTATAACACGCTAGGTCAGTCGGTTGGAAAAAACCTATATTACCTGGACATAGATATTAAACCGACAAGGATTATAATGGGTCATCCCTTGATGAAATCGGAATATGCCCAGATGAGTAAGTCGAAGGTCCAATGGTGGCTTTTAGAGGCCCTTGTATGTGATGGTCACCTTCAAAGACATAGGCCAAAGCTTCATCCGCATATCATCACACGGCATGTACATATGATAGCCATATCGAGAAAGTGAACTATCTTTAAGGGTGACGCATGTATATGTGCGATATATTACTCTTATGCACCATAGAGTTGTGGTCGCATCAGACCTAGGTGATCTTAATATATCTTTAGGGGAGAACTTAAAATCTATAGACCGAGATTACGTCCCCTTGCCCATTGGCCGACTTTGGCGGTCCAATCATGAGCCCCTGCGATAGATTGTTGATCATTGAAACCACCGGGTCAGTTTGAGAAAGCAAGATTGGATCGTAGTCCACAGTAGAAGGTGGAGTGCTCTAGTGTTTTGATAATTCCTAAACTATTGGGATCAAATTTCCATCAAAAATATTTAATTATAATTGTTTTGATTGTATTTGATTTTTAGAATTGTTATTTGATTTTTTTCTAAATCTCTGGGTATTTTATTTATGAATTTGGATTGATAAAAAAAAAGATATTGAATTTACAATGTTTTAAATATTCAAATGAAAATTTTATTTGTACATGAGGGGCCCCATAAGTATTCATGGGCCCACCATTGCATCTCGGTG